GTGTTGGCAACGCGTTCAGGTGCCAGCGTGGCTGCTCTGTCCCATAACCTTTTTTTTTAAGTCTATGGCTGAAATAACTGCAGAGTTATGGTTTGTTTAAATGCTTTTAGTCAAGTAGAACAAAGTTCCCCCTTTCTAGGAATGTTAGAATATGTATGTGATGGTTGTGTTACGAAGTTATGCCAATTAGGCAAAATTATACTTCTTATACTTAGTATAATATAAGTATTTATGTAAGTTATATGTAATTTATTGATATAATTTATATTTATAATAATACAATCTATAATATAATTATATAAATGTACACCTTAGAAGTGTAGGCATTGAAAGATTTCCCTGTCATCAGTGTATCTATTGCTACTGGCTTTTTTTGGAACCCAGACCTTGCTGGAGCGGGTTTTCACTTCTAAGAAAGAGGAATTAAGGGCCTGTGACAGGGCTGGTTGGTGTGTGCCTGCTCCTCTGCCCTGCCACCACCCATTCAAAATGCCTCTCCCACAGAAAGGACAGACAGTGACCTTGTGTCTCCAGGAGAGCTGGAAGCCAAAAGTCAGTGCTCTTGTCCTCCTGCCACGTTTTGCAGCAATGCTGGTGCCATCAGAGTGTCACTGTCTCTTTTTAATGATTTCTTGGTCTGTTGGTTTAACTGCAAAATACTCTGGTGTTTGCTCTTAGTTTAACTTCTTCCAAACTTCACAGTCATCCATTTTTCTATTTAATTAGTAAGCTGGAAACATAGTAGCCTGTTGTTGCTTGAACTGAATTATCAATTATTTCTTGGCGCTACAGTCTCTTTTATTGCCCACTGATTTGACTAAATATCTCCGATTGAGGTGACCATCAGGGCAAGGGAGGTGATTCTACCCCTTTGCTCTGCTCTGGGGAGACCTAACCTGGAGCCCTGTGTCCAGCTCTGGGGTCCTCAGCTCAGGAAGGACATGGAGCTGTTGGAGCAGGGCCAGAGGAGGCCACGGAGATGCTGGGGGGGCTGGAGCCCCTCTGCTGGGAGGGCAGGCTGAGAGAGTTGGGGGGGGGTTCAGCCTGGAGAAGAAAAGGCTCCAGGGAGACCTTGGAGCCCCTTCCAGTCCCTAAAGGAAAGAGGGGAGATGGAGCTGAGCTGTGGGGAAGAACTTGTTTGGTGTGAGGGTGGTGAGAGCCTGGCCCAGGTTGGCCAGAGAAGCTGTGGCTGCCCCATCCCTGGAGGGGTTCAAGGGCAGGTTGGAGGGGGCTTGGAGCAACCTGGTGTGGTGGGAGGTGTCCCTGCCCAGGGCAGGGGGTGGCACTGGGGGGTCTTGAAGGTCCCTTCCAACCCAAACCAGTCTGGGACTCAATGATTCTATGAGTATTTGTACACCTTTAGCCCTGCCCTGGTGAACGTGCTGCTTTGCAGCCTGAGGAGGGAGGGGAGGCTGCTCGAAGCTCAGCTGTTGTATAATGGCTTGTGAAAGGAAAATAGTGCAGAGAAATGCACCATTTATCACTTTTTATACAGGAACCTCAGCGTACGGCTCAACTGCAGAGTTTGCAATTATCTTGGTTAATTACTGTTGCCTCTGCACTGTTTTCTTTGAGAGCTGCAGTGCTTTACGTCAAAAATTCTTCCTATTTTCTTCAAAATCTAACGTGTTCTGTGCTGGGACAATATGTGGAGGGCTGCGTTGATGTGATCCCAGTGTTATGGATGTGTTGGACAGTCACTTGCTCTGTAGAGGCTGATCTTAGGTTATTGAACATGACTGTTTTGTACTGGAATCTAAAATCATGGTTAGATCTATTCCCACTAAAACACAGCGTGTGCCTTGTCCACACACATAACCTTCAAAGCCAGAGAAATGCTTACTCAGCAGAGCTGTTTGTTTCCTTTATTTTTATCCAGCCGTGTCCTTCACTTTGCATAATGGAGTAGTTTGTCGTCCTGGTACCCGAGGATTCCAGACTTTAAAGTCCCTCTTGACAATGACCTTGCAATGAGTATTTTTTCTGGACAGACCTTGAGAACTGTTTCAAATCACATAACGTCACAGTGAGATAAATATTTCTTAAGTCAACAGTATTTAGAATCTGGGTATTTAGTATCATTAGGGGAGGATGTGCTGGTCTGGAAGTGGGGTGATTTGAGATCCACCAGTTGCTTGGACCTTGTTATGGGTCAGTTATTTGAATCTGTTACTAGGACCGATACTGAAAAATTTGTATAAGCCTAATTTACACTGTAGGAGCTTTCACCGTTCTTTAAAACCTTTATAGTTCTCTAAATTAAGCAAAAGAAATGAACAAATACTTTTCACCTACATGTATTGGTTTCTCCTTTCTATTGCTGTTCGTTATGAAGGCCGTGGCAAATTCAGTGTGCAGTGTATATATGCACACAATTCCTTCATTCTTTAAAAAATTAAAAGTATTTTCTTTGATTTTTTTCAGGACTATTTCAATCCTAAAGCAGGCTGTCATGAGATAAAGTAGAAAATTAAAACGGTCGTCATTTCCTAGTTTGAAAGATTTTTTTCTTCCTTGGCCAACTGACATAGGTTATTCACGAAAATGAAGTTATTCGTGATCTCCAATTTAGTGGAGTTTTTGAGAAAGCAGAACCTGCAGGTCCTTGGAAATAAGTAACAGACTTAGCAGGGATTTTTTGGTGGGACCAGTGAGACTGTAGCTGGAATATGAACAAGAGAAGTTTGGTCACTATTTTAAATTTAGCGTGAGTATCTTGTCTAAGTGGTTTCTGGGTTTGTACCTTCACTCAACCGCAGTCGTGTTGATAAATCTTAACGCCCTCAGCGAGAGAGAAGATCTTGGCAAAGACCACAAGCAAATACACACAGTGCTCCACCTGCTTCAGGTCTTACAGAGCTTTGGTGGCAGCTTGCTGTGTGCATCGTCTTCATGGGTGGGCTTATTCCTTCTGGCAGCTTCAGCTGGAGCACCCAGTGCTTTTGGAGAAGTATTAATTGATAATTGTGGAATAATATATTGCCTTACACAGACTTGAGTCAATGGGCAGGACCCCAGTTCTGGTATATTTGATCTTCTGCTGGTGAGTTGAGTGTGTAAATCTTACCCTGCCACGATATAAAAGGATCATGGTGGTTAATAAGCTGCTTCTGGTTGCTGTGATGAAAATCAGTGTTTCCCCAGTCCACTAATAATGTTGACCAACACGCCTTATGCTGAGGGTGCAGCTAGAGCATGAGAGTGTCCCAGGTGGGTGTTGTTTCTGGGCTGTCTGAGCACTGCCAAAGGAGTAGTGGGCTTTTACTTGGGTGTTCTCTCCTGGTTACGTGGTGGATCTCCTCCTTTGACCTGGTAAAGCTCACGCACCACTCCCTTGTGGTAGAAGGTAGCACGACCCGGGGGTGGGAGAGCAGCTGGTGCAGGAAAGATGCTGAGATAATACCTGTTCCTACGGCTGTTGTAGATACATTAGGAGATCTTGGTGTGGCTAAATTAACTTACTTTGCACTGGAATTTGGGGTGCAGAAGCTGAGCTGTCGCCCCTCGTTATTTGATTGCTACTTGACCCCCAATGATCCTGAGATTTCTTACCTGATTCTCATTCTAGAGACAATAATAGTCATAGAATCATAGAATTATCTGGGTTGGAAGGGACCTTCAAGATCATCTAGTCCAACCATCAACCTAACTCTGATAAAAACCACCACTAACCCATGTCAGCCTGTCTTTTAAATACCTCCAGGGATGGTGACTCCACCGCTTCCCTGGGCAGCCCATTCCAGTGCTTAATAACCCTTTCAGTGTAAATTTTTTTTCCTCTTATCCAATTGGCCCCCAAATACATGCTGTATTGGATGTTACAGCTTGATTTACTCAGAGTGAAGTTGTTTCAAAAAACTAGAGCTGAAGAGAAGCCTCAAAGCCCCTGGCTTCTGGTGGGACTCATTCAGTAACAGCTTTTCTATTGATGGTAAACCCTGAATGGAGAAAACTGCCTTTGATATTAAAGCACCGTTTGCAATTAACTCATTACTGTCAAACTCATTCTCATTGATTTTTTTCCCCTTCCTACACCAGGAGGGTGTGTGTCTGCTGTCTCTGGCATGTGCTCTACCACCAGAGCACTCACCAAAATCCAGGAGTGGGCTTGGTGCTCGCAGGCTGTAGAAAGAGCTTAAATACAAAAAATAGCCTTGCTAGAATTTTTTTTGCGGAATCTTTGCTCGTCCTTCTCCTGGATACATCTGTATTTGTTCCTGTGGAGTCCTGTCTTCTGCTGAGTTAATTATCTGTCGTTGTATGTAAGGGAGTAATAAAAGAATCAATAATTTTGCATTACTGCTGCTTAGTGAAGCATCTGCTTGAAGATGATGGTTTTTGAACCGTGGAGCCCAATGCGTTACGTGCTCAAAAAGTCCAACATTCTGTGTCCAGAAGCAGGAAAATACTTTCTCTGATGGCATATGATGTGGAGTTTTGGGTTGTGCTCGTTCTCACTCTGTGGAATTGGTACCCTCCAGCAGGCAGATTGTACCAAGAAAGGAGTGAAGTGTTGAAGATATTTCCATGTACCTGTTTGGATTCATTTGGAACTGCTCCTTCTACATATGATAATTGAATTATTACTTTAATTTCACGTTACTGCTGTTTAGTGAAGCATCTGCTTGAAGATGATGGTTTTTGAACCGTGGAGCCCAATGCGTTACGTGCTCAAAAAGTCCAACATTCTGTGTCCAGAAGCAGGAAAATACTTTCTCTGATGGCATATGATGTGGAGTTTTGGGTTGTGCTCGTTCTCACTCTGTGGAATTGGTACCCTCCAGCAGGCAGATTGTACCAAGAAAGGAGTGAAGTGTTGAAGATATTTCCATGTACCTGTTTGGATTCATTTGGAACTGCTCCTTCTACATATGATAATTGAATTATCGTGTTGGGCACTGCCTTAAAGCTGCGTTAGCTTTCTCTGAACGTGTTGCAGAACTTGTTTAGTGATACACTGTGAAGTGACTGACCTTTTGCTTGCCTTTATTTCTTTGCAGAGCAAGGCTTAGATCACATAGCAGAAAACATCCTCTCCTACCTTGACGCCAGGTCGCTGTGCGCGGCGGAGCTGGTGTGTAAGGAATGGCAGAGGGTCATCTCGGAGGGAATGCTGTGGAAGAAACTCATCGAGAGGATGGTACGCACCGACCCGCTGTGGAAGGGGCTGTCAGAAAGAAGGGGTTGGTAAGTACCTCCATGGAAATTCACCTTTCGCCGTGTTCTGTAAATTCACAAATTTCCCCAACTACCAGCTCTGCCAAAAAGTAAGTTGATGGTAAATTGGTGTCACCGAGATCCGTAGCTCTGCCATGGACGTGTGGAGTGAAAGCTGTCACCTCCTGTCCCTGCTTTGGCCACCTTTGTGCACCCGTGTCTTTCCACAATTGCTTTCTTGTGCTCTGCAAATTTATAATTTCTGTGTTGCAGGGAGAACGCACGCGTCAAATCAGCTCACAAAAACTAGCACCAACATGTTTTGTAGGGCTTTTTCTCGAGTGAACTATTTCCAATTAAACTGCTTTTAGCTTAACACATGAAATAGCTGACTGGGCTGCAGAATCCTCTCTCAAAGAGAAAACATTTATGTTTATGGAATGGAGTTTTTCTCTCCTTTATGAATATCTGAAGCGACGAGGTGTTCTCCTTGAGAAACCTGCTTTTCTGTGCTCTCTAGTGGTGTGCCTCAGAAAATGCAAGGCATATTGCACACAGACACCCTGCTGGCTAAAAACCCTCAGGAAGCAGCGAGTGCTGAGTGAACTATTTCCAATTAAACTTCTTTTAGCTTAACACGTGAAATAGCTGACGGGGCTGCAGAAGCCTCTCTCAAAGAGAAAATATTTGTTTATGGCAATGGAGTTTTTCTCTCCTTTATGAATATCTGAAGAGATGAGGTGTTCTCCTTGAGAAACCTGCTTTTCTGTGCTCTCTAGTGGTGTGCCTCAGAAAATGCAAGGCATATTGCACACAGACACCCTGCTGGCTAAAAACCCTCAGGAAGCAGCGAGTGCTAATTTGGAAAACCATAGGCAAAACATCTGTTATCTTCTTAGTCTCGGACATTTAAATAAAGCTGTCAAATTGTAACGTTCACAAAGGTTGTAACACCAATTCTAAAAATTCTTACAAGAATTCTGTGAGAATCTTTCATAAGGTTTTGTTCTGTGCAGATTTTAAATGCCTTTAAAATTTGGATTCTTTGTGGTAAATTGAAAAATATCTTTCTGTTCTTTCCAGGGATCAATACCTGTTTAAAAACAGACCAACAGACGGCCCCCCAAATTCATTTTACAGGTCCTTATACCCAAAGATAATACAGGATATAGAGGTATGTTTTCTGATATTCTATGTCTGCAGTAGAAATAATGTTGGATACAGTTAGTTTTTCAAGGATGGTGCGTGTTGGAGCAATGAAGCATTATCATATATATATATATCTATATATCTGTATCACTGCTACTTTGTGAGCTCCAGCTCCTCAGACAATGTAAAAAATACCCTCAGTGACTTCCTGCCGCAGTGCGTGCATTAACGTGGTGCTTTAAGTGTTAACGTGGTGCTTTAAGTGTTAACACCAGCTTTTCTGCCTTTAAAGATTTTTGGAATTCTTCTGGGACTATGGATTTTAATAAAATAGCTGTTTTAGGAAACTTAACTACCAAGACACTGCCAGGTATTGCTGAATGTTCCAATAGATTGGTGCTGCTCATTTAGAAGGTGATCTGAGGGTTAATGCCTTACACACCCATCATCTAAAACATTACTCATTTAGAAATTAATTACTTCTGAAGCAGGCACTGTTGCAAATACATTTTTCTTTGGGGTGGGGGATTCTTTTCTCCCCTGGAGTGGTTTGATGAGAACAGTCAGTCCTACAATGATAAACACGGTAAGGATATTGGTGGTAAAAAGACTAGAAATGGCTGTTCTTTTCTTCGATATAAAATTTTGCTTATCTTCTTTCAGAGCTATAAAATTGGTCTTTCTCACTTTTAAAAAAGTGTTTCTGATAAATCAGGATTCTGCTGTGTACGCACCACACAAGTTATACCACAGCCTTTAAGGGATTTATTTCAACCACGTGATGGGTGTAAAATTATTAGTCTGAAATTCATTACTGGGGAAACAAGTGTTTTGATGTTTAAGACAGATGTGAACTAACGGAGTCTGTGTGGCTTGGCACTCAGTACACAAAACCAGTCAGGACTCTTAACCTGTCTGTAAAATGTATCTGCTGGAAAACATAATCCTATTTTTCAAATATATATATTTTTAATAACCCTTGCTACGCAGTTTTTAAGTATTTAAGGATAAAGAACGAAGCGTAAAATGTGGTCTAGGGAAAAAAAAGATCAAACTTGATATTTACTCGTGAGCTGAACGATGCACATTTTATTATTTGAAGAGAATATCCACTTTCTGAAAGGAGTGACAGAGTGATGCTGCAATGATAAGGAGCCCGTGGGATTAAGGAGAACTCATCATGTAGTATTTTCTTGCTTCTTGCAAAATTCTGGCACTGTTCAGTGTCAAAAATGGGCGAAAAGCGGTGTGAAAAGATGACCTTTGAGGTGATGTGGAACACTTGAAGGAGTTACTGTCACAACCTGCTATTTCATACTTTCATTCTTTAGAATGAAAAGTATTTCATACTTTCATTCTTTAGTTGCTGTAGATGTGCTAGTGCAGCGCACAGAGATGAAGCTCCTGAATGAGACAGTTTTTGCTGGTATGAAATAAGCAGGAAAAAACCCAAACCCTCAGGCTTTATTTGTTGTTAATATCTTGAATGTAAAAATTGCCAGTTTTTGGGAGCAGGGAATGAGTGTGCCACTAAAAAGACATCATAGTAATGAGTATGTTTCTTGAAAAAGTAAGTTGTATTAAGAAAACAATAATATATTGTTATAAAGACAGCATATAGTAATTATAAATCCTCAAATTAGGAGAAAAATCTCAGGTGGAGGGGCACAAGAACAGAGAAGCAGAATTAGGGCTGTTTGGGGAAAATCTCCTGGAGTTCTGTACTCCCCATCCCATGTCCATGTCTATAAACCTCTGAAAACCCTTTGGTCGTTAGTGGTTGTCAGTCGCTTGGGGTAGAATTTAAGGTTTTGGCAATTAACCTCAACGCTGCCCGTGGATGCTGTGGTGGAGCAGAAAAGGTGAAAGGAGCCAGGACCTGCCCAGGTGGGCTATTGCCTCCAGAGTTCACTGAGTTCAAAAGTAAGTGGAAGCCTCTGTTTGCCCAAATTTGGGAAATAAAATGTGGTTTTGCCCAGTCTTTTAGAGTAATGAGGTAAAACCCAATGGCTGCTTCCAGAAGGGTCACCCCTCGGTTTGTACAGGCTGAGCTGCTCCTGGTTCTTCGAAACTGCCGAGCTGGAGAGGGAAGGCAGAAGGACACTGGTGTTGTGCCACCTCCAGTTTTCCTCTCTTTATATATTTCCTTAAAGTCTCCTGAAATATTGCTCTTTTCCAGCTTTCCAACCTGGAGTGGGGTTAGTGTTTCTGCTGATAGGTATTTCCTTCAGGTCTCCTGAAATAATTGCTGTTTTCCAGCTTTCCAGCCTGGAGTGGGGTTAGTGTTTCTGCTGATAGTCAGGGGTCCAATCATTCTTCCACTTCCAAAAGTCTATTATAATTTTTCTAATAAATCAGCCTTTAAAGCACTTTTCACAAACTGCTTCCCTAAAGGACTCTCAAAAGAAGCTTTTAACACTGTTTAAAAATGTAGCTGGTGAGTAACAACAACAACAAAGCTTGGCTATAAGATGAGGAGCACTTCTTAGCTTTTTCCTCCCCTTATTCTGTTTTTAAGGCTGAAGTCGCGCTCTCCCTCACTTTCATACTTTTCCCATTCCTTCCTTTTTTAAAAGCAAGTCTCTTCAATAAGACTTTGATCTTAGCTGTCCTGAAGAATTTTTGTATCTCTGAATACCAAAATGTTTTTTCTTCAAATATTTGCCTGGACCTTTAATAAGATCTTCCTGTTTCTGTCAGAGGGTCAGAGTTTAGGGAGCCGGTGATGAGCCAAAGGCTCCCATATTAGCATTTCTAGAATTATAGAAGTATTTTTATAAGGCATTTGTCTTGTGTTCAAAAAACTTGATTGTTTAATACGGTAAAATAGGTAAAATATGTTTAAGTAATACAAAAATCTCGTCATTCAGTATTTTTACCTGTGGAGCACAAAGATTGAGCAAATTCTGCCCGACTGTTTCTAATGATAAGGGTTATTAATTTACTGCAGCTGGGACAAAATGGGGTTGTGGGTAGAGATAAGCTTGAAGGAGAATGAGCTCTCTCCTTTGGATTGACTGCCAGAATTGGAAGAGGAATCCAACACCTGAATTAACAATTGGAAGAAAAAAGAAAAAAAAAAAAAAAGAATGATAAATAGCAAATTGGAATTCTTTTTTTTGGGCTTTATTTGCAATTTGGGGTCAAAAATCCCTGCAGCCACAACGTGGTGGTAGCTGCGAGGTGAGGCAGGCGGTGATTTGGCAAAGGGGGAGCTTCTCTTGCCTCGCTGCAAATTTCTGAGTGCCAGTGTCTGTTTCTTTCATGCCAAACCGTGGGCCGTGATTTGGCAAAGGGGGAGCTTCTGAGTGCCAGTGCCAGTGTCTGTTTCTTTCATGCCAAACACATTTTAGGAACATAATGTCACTTCTGAAATCATTGGATTTGAAAAATAAGAGGACGTTTAGAGATCTGAAATCCAATTCTTGGAAAGAAGTCGTTACTCTCCACCTCCACTGGGAAGCCAAATATTTAATTAGGTTTCATTTCACGAGAGGTGGTGCAGTAATTTTTAAATGTCTCCAAGTCAGGTGTTGAACTGCCAAGTTTCTTGAGGAGCTTTTTTTTTTTTAAAGGGGAAAAACCTGATTTGGGGCTTATCCGGGTGCTCAGGACCTCATTTGTGGAGATGATTTGGTTGGTGGGGGGTACCCTGTGCCCGGGTGATGTCCCAAAACCTGCTGGAGAAGGTCAGCCCTTTGAATGGGATTGTGTTCCTCGGCACGTTGCCAGGATGGGAAGTTTCATGCTCCCGGCTCCAGAACCCCAAGTCCCTGGATTTTTTCCATATTATTAGTGAAGCTTGGCCAACTCTTCTGTTTTCCCCTCAGGATTAGCACAAGTATCTATTTCTTGGGATGAGTTGAGAAGACTTTAGTTCATAAACGTTCCCCTTATCTTCAGGCACACAGCAAGTGCCCTCAGCTCGTTTCCATGGAGACTTAGACCCAACCTCATTAAGATGGGGATGAAAATGTGATTTTTTTGCCGAAGACTTTAGGAAGAGGTGGCGCCAGGCCATCAGATAAACACCATGTGTTCTTCTGAATTTTGAAAAAGTTCCGATTTTAGGACTGGAACTGAAATTTTCAAGCCTTGGGGAAATCTGCAGAGGGGGAAATGTCAGCTCTCGCCCTAAGTCGCTGCCAGCGTCGGGCGAGCTTGGGTTAGGAAAGTTGCAACGTATAATTTCTGAGGAAAATGGGTTTATTTAGTGCTGTTCTAATTATGATGCTGGAGAAATTTGATGTGTGTATGGGGGGAGAGTCTGGTCAGCATTATATGCCTAGAAATTTTTTCAGCCGGCCTTTGAAATCTCTATTCCACAAGCATTTTCCGAAAGGCATTTCTTAAAAATGGAAGTGGCCAAGGAAAGGAGAAGCCTTTGAGTGATGGGGATGAAGTTTCTGGGATGAACAGCGTAGATTTTGGGTCTTAGGTCTGAACAGGGCAGGAGACTCCTTTCAGACTCCCCCAGTGTGGGAGAAATCCCTGCCTTGGCTTTTTTGTTCGCTTTGCCCACATCACACCTACTATTTTTTTTTTCCACAAATAGGCAAACTAAGACTTCAGATTTGAAAGGAGGGATTTCTTGTTCTTGTTTGAGTCCTTTGAACGCCCCTGTGCCCTGAGAGGGGCTGAGAGTGACCTGTTTCCATAGAACTTTGGATTTTTATCCTGTTGTGCATAAACCTACTGTCTCCAGTGGAACCTGGAGGGGTTCCCTTGCACCAAAAGGTGGAATAATTTTGTTTTTCAGCAGCGTTGTTTGTTGTCAGGTGTTGTGTGTGGTCCAGATGCACGTGTCACTGAGGTGCCTCAGAGGACCTGTCTGTTTTTGCTGCCATTGGCTTGTGTTTTTAAGATTTCCTCTCCAGATCTGGAGGTCACAGCGGTGTTCCTCCTCTTTGACGTCAGCAGGACTCCATCTAAAGTTACTATAGTTTGATGTTGCATCTGTATCTTCTGAATCATCTGAAATCTTGAATTTTACTCTTGTGTTAGACCTAGTTGATAGAAGTTGGT